TGTAGTACCTCTGAGTCTGGAGAAGAAGATTTTTGAAATATTGGATAATTTTCCCTTTGGGGCCCCGCCCTGGCCCCAGGGGTTGGGGTAGGAATCCCAATTTTACAATTTTGAAGCCTCATCTACCAAGGATGATTCTGACCAAGTTTGAAAAAAATCCATCCACTGGTTCTTGAGAAGAAGTTGAAAATGTAAAAGTTTACGCACGACGCACGACGGACGACGGACGACGACGGACGAAAAGTGATTGGAATAGGTCACTTGAGCAAAGCTCAGGTGACCTAACAAGTTTTCAGAAAGGGCTTACGCAGTACTAGTTTTTCATTAAGGGGTTGTTCAGTAAGGGTTTGTTCAGTACCAGGTTTCAGTGAAGGGCTTGTTCAGTACGGGCTTGTCCAGTACCAGGTTTCAGTGAAGGGCTTGTTCAATACAAGTTTTTCAGTAAGGGCTTGTTCAGTACCAGTTTTCAGTAAGGGCTTGTTCAATACAAGTTTTCAGAAAGGGCTTACTCAGTACCAGTTTTCAGTGAAGGCTTGTTCAATACCAGTTTTTCAGTAAGGGGTTGTTCAGTACCAGTTTTTCAGTAAGGGGTTGTTCAGTACCAGTGTTTCAGTAAGGGTTAGTTCAGTACCAGTTTTCAGTGAAGGGCTTGTTCAGTAAGGGTTTGTTCAGTACCAGGTTTCAGTGAAGGGCTTGTTCAGTACCAGTTTTTCAGTAAGGGCTTGTCCAGTACCAGGTTTCAGTGAAGGGCTTGCTCAATACCAGTTTTTCAGTAAGGGCTTACTTAGTACCAATTTTTCAGTGAAGGCTTGTTCAGTACCAGTTTTCAGGGAAGGGCTTACTCAGTACCAGCTTTTCAGTGAAGGGTTTGTTCAGTACCAGTTTTTCAGTAAGGGCTTGCTTAGTACCATGTTTCAGTAAAGGCTTGTTCAGTACCAGTTTTTCAGTAAGGGCTTGTTCAGAACCAGTTTTCAATAAGGGCTTGTTCAATACCAGTTTTTCAGTAATGGCTCATTCAGTACCAATTTTTCAGTATGGGTTTGTTCAGTACCAGGTTTCTGTGAAGGGCTTGTTCAGTACCAGTTTTTCAGTAAGAGCTTGTTCAATACCAGTTTTTCAGTAAGGGCTTACTCAGTACCAGTTTTTCAGTAAGGGCTTGTTCAGTACCAGGTTTCAGTGAAGGGCTTGTTCAGTACCAGTTTTTCAGTAAGGGCTTGTCCAGTACCAGGTTTCAGTGAAGGGCTTGTGTAGTACCAGTTTTTCAGTAAGGGCTTACTAGGTACCAGTTTTTCAGTAAGGGGTTGTTCAGTACTAGTTTTACAGTAAGGGTTAGTTCAGTACCAGTTTTCAGTGAAGGGCTTGTTCAGTAAGGGTTTGTTCAGTACCAGGATTCAGAAAAGGGCTTGTTTAGTACCAGTTTTTCAGTAAGGGCCTGTCCAGTACCAGGTTTCAGTGAAGGGCTTGTCCAGTACCAGGTTTCAGTGAAGGGCTTGTTCAGTACCAGTTTTTCAGTAAGAGCTTGTTCAATACCAGGTTTCAGTAAGGGCTTACTCAGTACCAGTTTTTCAGTAAGGGCTTGTCCAGTACCAGGTTTCAGTGAAGGGCTTGTGTAGTACCAGTTTTCCAGTAAGGGCTTACTCAATACCAGTTTTTCAGTAAGGGCTTACTAGGTACCAGTTTTTCAGTAAGGGCTTGTTCAGTACTAGTTTTTCATTAAGGGCTTACTCAGTACCAGTTTTTCAGTAAGGGCTTGTTCAGTACTAGTTTTTCAGTAAGGGTTTGTTCAGTACCAGGTTTCAGTAAGGGCTTGCTCAATACCAGTTTTTCAGTAAGGGCTTACTCAGTACCAATTTTTCAGTGAAGGCTTGTTCAGTACCAGTTTTCATTCAAGACTTGTATAACACTATAGTAGAGGGTTACACAATAACATGACAAACTTTGGTAAACAGTAAATAATGACTTTATTTGTGGCGTAGAATCAACGGATGTGTAGAACCTCCACACAGTACTGACCGACGGCCTGCTTGGACGTCACGGAACACTTGGCCTTGAGCTGGTCCAGGAGTGCCTCCAACCCTGATAGCTCATCATAGAACTGTACCTGTTACAACAGATAACACAAAATAGATGGTCAGAAGCAAATCAATAGATTTTTAATATTTATGACCTTTTCTGCATTTAAATCAGCTTATTGGAAATCTGAAATACATTAATATGCAATTTACGTGATATTTCATGGTTTGCTTTTTTGTGTTCAATTTAAATGACCCATCAGCACATTAGAGTCACACTGAGCCACATAACAGTCTTATGGCCTTCAACACAATATGGTCATACAGCGCCACACAGCAGAAAATGGTTGAGCGGAAGATGTGCTGAGAGACGAAAAGAAGTATAAAAGGGATAAAGAAATAAAAAGGATCCTGTATCATAAACACTGTTGTCTTTAATACAACAAAATACAAGCAAATCAATAATTAAGTACAATGTAGGTATGCATAACAATACTATTTCCCATGAATTGTGATGTCGCTTACCTGTGAGGCCACGCAGGTATGTAGATTGATAAGGGTGAGTCGCGCGTCGGGGGAAATAATTAGCTGTGTGATGTGAGCATCTAGTGTCACAGAAATCCAGTCGGCAATCTGGCGGGAAAAAACATACACTGATTTTACTCCCATATAACATTTTACCTCAGTACCTTACTATTGTAAATCACATCCTTTATGTGAGAGAATAACTTCCCCATAATTTGTGAGGAGATCTATCGGAAAATTGAAATCTGAATTCTACCTAGCTGATTACCATTAATATTTGTAATGAAATTGTAACATCTGGTTTGTGGATTTGAGTAACCGCAAATTAAACCTACAGCTGTAGTTCTTCAGATAAAATATTCATGAAAATAAGATGACTTAAAAATATTGTCATTTGTATAGCTTTCTTTTTGGATACTCAGACAACCCAGATAAAGTAAAAAACTGAAATATTGTTAGTAAAAAATGTTTTGAATTCTCTTGTTGTTCCTTACCTGTCCTATAGTAGGTTGACCAAACAACAAGCCTCTCCTTTTCTTCTCACCATCCTTCTTTAAAAACAATATCTCTTCGTCCATGTCTTCCTCTTCGATTTCTATATCTTCCAGTCTATTTCCCAACATGTGGCGGAGATGCTCCAAAAGAACCTGTCACATATGATAAAAACTTCAAGCTGATTCGGCATATTTTCGACACGACCTTCTGCTGATGTTTCATAATTTTAGTCTTAACCACCATGATTTTCTTACTATGACTTAAACATGGCTAAATGATAAGGGAAAGTATGAGAAACTGCAGAAATAAAGGTTGTTCACCAAGGAGAGTCGGTTGGTTTATCTAACTGGAGTTTATTAGTTTTCAAATTGTACAAAAATCAAGGTTTACAGAAAATTAATTTATGAGAGTTAGATAAACGTGCAAACTAGCCATCACGAGTTTGGGGACCCGTTTCCCTAGTAATATACATTGGGAGATCTAGAGGGCCTAGTAAGTTGTAAGAACTTGTGTCCAATCCCTTTGACTATTCATGATCAGTGTCAATAGAATATGTTTGAATAAGAATAACAAAAGTTTATCCATTGCCAATGCCGAGGTGATTACATAATACCCATTATTCTTTACATAGGCAGACTAAAAATCATTCCAAAATAAAACGTAAAAGACAGTTAGTTAACATGTTGCTGTTTTAACCTTTGAAAAACACTTACCAGAACATTTTTGAAGTTAAGGGACTTCAAATAGTCGACCAAGAACACGTCATTAAAACCCTCCTTCAGCATGGAGTTTCTGATGATGGTCAAGGACACACTTGCTATATACAGTAGTGTTCATTTCATTCTAGCTCTGTATAATTTAGTCCTAATGTCAGAACACTAAGCTTTATTGTTTCTTCAGTAGAATTTATTTTGAACTGTTAAACACCTTTGACCTCTGTATGGCTTGATAGCTCTCCCCAATAGCATGCTACAACCCAAATTTTTGTATATATTTTTTTTAATGCACTTGACCCTTGTCACCTTAAAAGTAGGTCAAGGTTATCAATATGAACAATAATGATACTTCATCACCACAGTATGCTACAGGTCATCTAACATGATTCTTGGCTTTCTGGTTCTTTAAAAGAAGTGATTTGTATGGAAGTTTTTGATAGATGAATGACAGATGCCGAACCATGACATAAACTCCACGGCACTATATGGCCAGGTGAGCTATGAATGCCTAAAAAAACCTCTTTCCATATGTGGCGATAATGACGTGAAAAGGATACACAAAGTATGCCTTATGGACTCCAAATGGCTGCTTTTCATCTGATGAAGTGTCAGGCAGTAAACTTTCTATAAATATGGTCTCCGCCGCTTTAGCCAATTCTTCATCTTCTGCCCTGTTGATTGAATTCAGTCATATATAATAAAACTAACATATACTCAACTACATAATTTAGAAAAAAAATGTTGAAACATAACTTCAGTATTCAATTCAATTTTGTATTATCAAATGTGATTTTACATAACGAAGCACTTAAATTTAATTCAAATTGAGTTCTGCAATAATATTCCTTTAGTTATGCACCTTTGTGAAATGTGCATATAAACATCTTGATAACAGCCAAATTCTTGAAGGCACTTGAAGTCATTTGACAAACATACCTTTCTATAGTAAACCTCCCTTGGACTAGGTTTTCATGAAAGTCAGGTTTAATTTACATATCAATATATACATTAGGATTGCTTTTTCCTAGCGTATTTAAGTGCTTTTCTGATAATGTTGAATTATAAACAGATAAAACTACCGCCACTTTAACTTTTAAACGAGTGCAGGTCAATTTGTGTTTTTTGTTTACACAGGAAACTCGCACAAAGTATTAAGGACACCTGGTCCTCACTTACACTGTAGGATGCAAGGACCTCTGACACACTGTGTAGGATACAGAGACCTCTCACACACTGTGTAGGATACAGAGACCTCTCACACACTGTGTAGGACACAGGGACCTCTCACACACTGTGTAGGATGCAAGGACCTCTCACACACTCTGTAGGTAACAGGACCCTCTCACACACTGTGTAGTATACAGAGACCTCTCACACACTCTGTAGTATACAGGGACCTCTCACACACTCTGTAGGATGCAAGGACCTCTCACACACTCTGTAGGTAACAGGACCCTCTCACACACTGTGTAGTATACAGGGACCTCTCACACACTGTAGTATACAGGGACCTCTCACACACTCTGTAGGATGCAAGGACCTCTCACACACTCTGTAGGATGCAAGGACCTCTCACACACTGTGTAGGACACAGGGACCTCTCACCCACTGTGTAGGATGCAAGGACCTCTCACACACTCTGTGGGACCTCTCACACACTGTAGTATACAGGGACCTCTCACACACTCTGTAGGATGCAAGGACCTCTCACACACCTCTCCCACACTCTGTACCTCTCACACACTCTGTGGGACCTCTCACACACTGTAGTATACAGGGACCTCTCACACACTCTGTAGGATACAGAGACCTCTCACACACTCTGTTGGACACAGGGACCGCTCACACATGTAGGACACAGGGACCTTTCACACACTCTGTTGGACACAGGGACCTCTCACACACTCTATATGACACAGGGACCTCTCACACACTCTGTAGGGAAACAGGGACCTCACACACACTCTGTTGGACACAGGGACCTCTCACACCCTCTGTTGGACACATGGACCTCTCACACACTCTGAAGGAACACAAGGACATCGCACACACTCTGTATGACACAGGGAACTCATGCACACTATGTAGGACACAGGTAACTCTCCCACACTCTGTAGGACACAGGGACCTCTCCCACACTCTGTAGGACACAGGGACCTCTCCCACACTCTGTAGGACACAGGGAACTCATGCACACTATGTAGGACACAGGGACCTCTCCCACACTCTGTAGGACACAGGTAACTCAGACACACCGTGTAGGACACAGGGACCTCTCCTACACTCTGTATGACACAAGTAACTCAGACACACTATGTAGGACACAGGTACCTCTCCCACACTATGTAGGACACAGGTAACTCAGACACACCGTGTAGGACACAGGGACCTCTCCTACACTCTGTATGACGCAGGTAACTCAGACACACTATGTAGGACACAGGGACCTCTCCCACACTATGTAGGACACAGGGACCTTAGACACACTATATATAGGACACAGGTAACTCAGACACACTGTCTAGGACACAGGGACCTCTCCCACACTCTGTATGACACAGGTAACTCAGACACACTATGTAGGACACACGGACCTCTCCCACACTATGTAGGACACAGGTAACTCTCCCACACTCTGTAGGACACAGGAAACTCAGACACACTGTCTAGGACACAGGGACCTCTCCCACGATGCAAGGACCTCTCACACACTCTGTAGGGAAACAGGGACCTCACACACACTCTGTTGGACACAGGGACCTCTCACACCCTCTGTTGGACACATGGACCTCTCACACACTCTGAAGGACCACAAGGACATCGCACACACTCTGTATGACACAGGGAACTCATGCACACTATGTAGGACACAGGGACCTTAGACCCACTATATATAGGACACAGGTAACTAAGACACACTGTCTAGGACACAGGGAGCTCTCCCACACTCTGTATGACACACGTAACTCAGACACACTATGTAGGAAAAAGGGACCTCTCCCACACTCTGCAGGACACAGGTAACTCAGACACACTATGTAGGACACAGGGACCTTAGACACACTATGTAGGACACAAGGACCTCACACACTCTCTGTAGGATACATGGACCTCTCACACACTCTATAGGACACAGGGACCTCTCCCACACTCTGTAGGACACAGGGAACTCATACACACTATGTAGGACACAGGGACCTTAGACACACTATATATAGGACACAGGTAACTCAGACTTACTGTGTAGGACACAGGGACCTCACTCTTTATTGAACAGAAGGAGAGACAGGGCACTCAGACAATGTTCTGTAGGAACTTACGTGATGTAGTATTGCAGGGCTTTACACAGACACACTTCGGGGACATCAGTCACCTTCTGTAGGAAGTTGTGTAGGAGAGAGATTTCACCATGTTGTATGAGAGCATCCACTAACTTTGGCATCACACTGAAAGAATAACAAGGTATGTAAATACACAATCTGGTGGTCCCTAGGTACCTCACAGTAGTGAAACAGAATCTCAAGCATGTTAAACAAGTCTGCTTTCCATTATGTGGTTTAACCATTTCAACAACAGGTACAGATTGGGATTGAGGCCGACCTTTTGTAAATTAGGCGTTTATGGATCAAGGGATCTAGTCAAGCCTGAAACTAGGAAGGGTTTCTACAGATAGTTTGTGGTATTTCAACATAAAAAAGTTGGTTCATATACATATTTGAAGAAATTATTATAAAGTTTAATAAAATCACAAAAGGATCACATATACCTGTTCATTTCTTGTTATCTATCCGACAGAAAAATCAGAAATGTTGCATTGTGAGCTCTGTCTATTATATATTTATCAAAATTCAATCTGCAGAAACTAGTTGGAATCAATACACATTACTAGCGACGATATCAAATTAGTCCAATCCAACACAATAATTAACAAAATCAGCAACTTTCCAAAGACATCTAATTACCATTTTGTAAATATATTTCACAACCTCAGATGTAACAATAAACATGAACAAGTTATAATTCATTTCCACCAAGAGCTGTTCCTCAATAAACAACAGCCAATGGTACATTTTGGAATGCAGTTATTCTAAGATCCTGTTAAGGACACAAGTTGCCATAACAACACAAGACAGACATGTATCTACCAGCACAACACAGGGTTAGAAAATTGCCAAAGGGGTTTCGACATCACAAAGGGACGGTCCTGCAACACTTACCTTGCTGGCATGTTGTAGAGCTGCATCAGCTCCGTTATCTCTTTGACAGGCCAGAACCTTGTCTCCGTCAGACACCGTGTCAAGATGTCGGTAAACATTGAACTCATGTACCACACACTCTTGAATTCCTTTATGCATTTCATTAGCCCCCAGAAGGCCCCCTGAAACTTCTGGTAAGTTCTCGTCTGAAAAGAAAAAAAAAATCATCAATCGATTAACAATGTCATACAGTGAATGGTGGCACCCATGGAATAGTTTACATGTTACCCAATGTGCCATATTCATTTGGCAATAAGCCCAAGCCTGATAATAAGCCCATCCATATCCATTACAATACAGTAGCAATACCAACAAAATGCTATTGTATTGTCCTGTCATGCTGTATGACATATGAACTGTTCGCTGTGTATTCATGGTTTTTCGTGGTTGCTACGGCACCATGAAAATGTTGGGTGCACAAATCATTAAACGGACTCGCAGTAAGTACAAAATACTGTTGATCAACACTAATGAAGTTTTTTTTTTATTATAAACAACATGCTTTTGGCAGTCTGCACACTTTATAGTCTGAAGCTTTATCGTAATTATTTTTACCGATTTAGTCTACATGCGAAAGATGTTAATGAACACGGAATGGCGAGATGTCGTACTGTTGCGTTTTATTTGTATCAAAGAATTAACAAGTGACAAAATGAAATTTGAACACTATGAAGTAGACAATGTTTTGATGTTGGATTTACGCTATTGAAACCAATATCTTACTTTGAGGTATCCGAGTTTTTCGACTTTTCAAGGTTCAAATTATCATAGTTTTATTTACTAAGATAAAGAAGACTTGGCCGGGTAACCTGAGAAATACTTTGAGATAAATGGGGTCTTCGAGTTAAAAGAATTTAAGGTAACGAGGTTTGACTGTACCTCGCTACCGTTGTTTTATATGGGGTAGCCATGAGACTTTGCATCGAAACGACCTAAACAGAGCTTCAAACCAGGAGAGAAAGTATCCGCGAACACATTATGTAACCGAAGTAACCCCATCTCCCTACATTGAGCCACAGGTTACATATTGGTATCCTGGACATACTGGACGATCTGTGCGTAAATCTTAACCATAGTGACATCAGAATTAAAATAATAGGCTTGACATCATGGCATTGTAATGATAAAAATTTGACAATGTCAACGAAATTGCGTTTGTTGTGAACATTTTTGAACAATCTCGGTAACATCATACAAATGATTTCAAATATGTTTCCATTTCACCATCCACATGTATTTTTTTTTTTTTGGTGAATATTTCAAAAACAACACTCACTTTTTCCTGGTCACAGAGTCGTGCTGCAAGTTCCTCCGTCTTTTGTTGATTTCCCATCTGTGCTTCCATCTGCTGTAGAAATACAAAATATTTTCTCGCATCAAATATGTTGATATATATTACATAGTGGGGTCTCGTTAGTTTATTAACTCATTTACCCCCTAAAGACACATTTGAACTCTTCCATTTCAAAGGTTGGAATAGTTCATTATGAAACTTCAGGGGTGAATGAGTTAACTTTACTCTCCAGACTGACAATGTCTGTACGATCAAATGTTCCAGATCACAAACGGAGGACTTGTTGCCTGGATAGTCACACGAACAGTTCCTGGATATAATTCTCCAGAAAGTAAGCTTCCTGAAATCACGAGTGACCATGGTCCTGATCAATGAGATTCTGCTGCGAACATCTTTGTTTTTCTAGATGTTTAGTAAGTAACAGTCAAAAGAATCAAGGATCCCTGTCCCACTGCATACAAAACACCAGAGAAATAGAGAATTCCACTGTAGTGTTTCGTGCCTACAATAATTTTCCATCATTTTTTTTGTTTTGGATATAACTATATTGCATATAGAGGTAGCTCAGTTGGTTAAAGCAACAGTATAATGATCGCAAGTCCAGGGTTCAAACATTAGTTTGGTTCCTTTGCATTTTGACACTCAGCACACTGCTGAAGTTGTCTTATGTGTCTTTCATCTTCTTTTAATTTTTTTCAATAATATTCCACAAAATTTGTCGTTCTTTTCAGAAATAATCTATCTATGATGATGACAAAAGATAAGTTTCCTATGCATAGTTATTTTTTTTGCAGTCGTACAGGGATACTTAATTTCAAACTATATTACATAAAAAACTTTCAAACAAGCATACCGAGCAATACATGTCCCCTACCAGCCCCCACTACCTATAACACTGTAATGATTTTCTTAAAATAGTAACGGTGACCTTGACCCGACAACCCTGAAACTCGAACTTGTCCAAAATATTATGGTCCTTTGTAATTGTGTGAAGTTTGATCCAAATCCCTCAAGGAAGGAAGCGGCTAGAGCGCTGACAAGGATTTTCTAAAAATAGTAAAGTAACCTTGACCTTGACCCAACAACCCTGAAACTCAAACTTGTCTGAGATATTATTGTCCTTTATAATTGTATAGTTTGATTCAAATCCCTCAAGGAATGAAGCGGCTAGAGCACCGACAAGGATTTTCTAAAAATAGTAACGGTGACCTTGACCTAACAATCCTGAAATTTGATATTGTCCGAGATATTAGGGTTCTTTGTATTTGTGTGAAGTTTGATCAAAATCTCTCAAGGAATGAAGCCACTAGAGCACTAACAAACATTGGTGTTACGTACGTACACAGATGGACAGAGAGGAAAACTATCTTTATAATACCTAAATTGATAGGATAAATAGTGGCATTTTAATGAGGTTTTAGTGTACAAACTATTCATGTTGATTCACATCAGTTTTCCTTCTAATAACAAATTAATATCCATCCTTACAATAGTACTATGTGTCACAGGCACTAAATCTGAAAGCTGCTAAAAACAGATATGATATGCAAAACAGCCAATATTATCAAATCTGTGAAAATTGGGGACCACAAAACAAAAGAAGAAGTAAAATAGTTTCAAATTAATTTGTTCCCCCCGCCCCCCAGAATACATGTATTTTTTTAAACTCGCCGAAGCTTACACATATCATTTATACAAGTTTGATGACACAAGATCCCCTTTATAAGAGGTAAGTTATAAACGCGTGAAAGTAAATACATACAGAAGTGCCTGCCACGGTCGGCCATCCGACACATTTCGGGAGTGTAGGTCTGGCTTCAGCAGTGGTCAGTTGTTGCTGCTGACCGAGGATACTGGACACAGTGGACTTCTGGCAAGTGTAGGGTATCATGTACATTGTGTTTCCACAGGCAACCAACAGGTTACCATGGTGGCTGTATATCTGTAAATGAACAGCACAAGAAGACTGTACAATGAGCAAAAATTGATATTTTCAATTTAATTTGGCACTTTCAAAAAGTATTTTACAACATTAACATGAAACAAAATGTGAATTAATTTCTCTGCTCTTTGATACAGAAAGGTCATTTCACCAAGAAAAAAAATGCACACAAAACATAAGTAATCTTTAATATGACTTACTGTTAAAGACTGATTTTTTGTGTATAATTTATTTTCATGGTTAGAAATAATATTATACACATGAAGATTTGATTCGCAAAACGACTAATGGCAGAGTTACTATATTTTTATCATATGTGCTTGATTATGACAAATTTTAAGATATTTGACTCGCAATTTTCAGTCCTTTCAAATCAATACAATTGTATAGTTATTTCATAATAACGATTTGTTGATTCGATCCGATAACTAGGTTAAATGCTACTATCATACACATATGCAAATTCCCAAGAGTTGGGTCAAAATATTAGTTACATTTAGGAGATATGGAGTGTCGGAAGTGATTTGAAACAGAAGTTAGAATAGATCAATTGAAAATATCACATGCTGCTGTTGTTGAAGCAGGAACAACAAACTAACCTTGACATTTGGCTGGACAACACCAGGGTATGGTCGCCAAGCTTTTAAAGTACCAAACTGGAGATCAAAGACCCCTATTCCCTCTGCAAAAAACATTTACATGTATCAATGTTGTGAAAAGAAAAATAAATATTAATCATATCTTAAACCCAAACACACTGATGTAGTTTCCACAGCATTGACATAAGTATAAGTTCAATGTATTGCTGTCAGGAAATTCACATGAAGTCAGAAATTTTCATTAATTTCTTTATTTCAGGTTTTGTGATTTGGTTAATTCAAACAATTTTACTAAAGTACATAGAAAATATCGAACAATATACCGTGAAATTTACACTGCATTTTTTCCCCCGTCTTTTTCTCCCTCCGTTATGAGGGTGAATTAATCACTACCGCAAAATTTAAAAGGGCAGAAATGAATTTTACTGTCAAAAGCAAAAATTTGACTGGGCGAAAATTTCCTGGTATACAGTGTTTCACAAGATATAAAAGAATAAGAGAAGTTAGTCCGAAACAAACTGACTACAATAATCTGTCAGGCAATTATTGTGATTTCCCAGAACATTTTTGGGAGTGTAAGAAAATGAAGTGAGATCGGCTAAAAAACAGTCAGATATTTCATACACCCTCTCTGGCACTGGTAGGACAGAATGTAACTAACTTTGTTTGTCCTGTGTGGTACCAGCCACGGCCACATGGTGCGTGTCCAGGACGGTGAAGGTTGCCGAGCTACCCACCCCCGGTATCGTCTGTACGGTCCGCCTGACAGGGTCGGCCTGCTGGTGTGTCAGATCCAACAACACCATACTGCCATTGGACACTGTAAAATGTCATACAGACTCATAACAACATACAAGCAACCCTATTAATCAATGCATATTGTCATCCACAAATAATGGTGGATCCAGGAAGTTGCAGATGGTGGTGAGAACATTTAGCTCAAGAGGGACCAAGTCTGTGATTATTCTTTTTAAACACATATATCTATTTTTCTCTTTTTTTTTTAAATTTCCAAATCATTTCACTGAATTAGGATCAGGAAGTTAAATATCAAAAATGTATTACATTCCTTGTGAATCTTTCTCTAGTAATACAGCCAGTTTTAATGCTTAGCAATACAAGGACTGTGTGTTTGATTTGGTCTGGGTTTTTTGTGTGCTTTATGCCCTATTAACGGCAATGGTCATTTAAGGACATGCCAGGTTTTGGTTGTTGAGGAAAGCTTGAGCACCTGGAGAAAAAGCACTGACCTGCGGGTATTTGTAGCAACACCCCACCATTTTTTTATGCATTTTTGCTTGTTCATAAAAGATTTGAAAACATACAGGGTGTTCTTTTCCCTAAAGATATGGTAGAAATTGATATTTATTGAAGAAATGAGGTTATGCTGTAATGCCGCAAAAAAAATCTCCCTAATTAAAATCCAATCTCCAGACTTCCAAACACAAGTCTCCCTATTTGGTGTTCCAAATGCATCACATTATAACTGGGCTGTGTTCATGTCGGATGAGAGTAATATAACTTTTGTGGTATAACTCTGGGTTTTGTGCATGTCAGATTTTATGTGGCACCAGATGAACACGTGTGGTATTGCCTATATCTTTAACCCATGTACCACACGAGATAAGAAAGATGGTACATCGTTGAAACTTACATAGACAGTAGAGTCGGACTGATGATCCAGCTGTCCGACACTGACTGGACGTACACTGGACTTTGTCTGGACACGTCTCTGTGGTGACCAGCACCTTCCATTCCTTTGTGTCCCGTTTGTACCAGTGGTGTGTTACTGTTAATTCCGAGTTCTGAAGTAAAACAAAATGTTTAAGTCATGTACATTGTCTACAAGCTTTGGGTGCATTGCTTTTTATCAACGGCTGTGAGTTGATGAATATATATCCATGTATATGGGAAAAACCTTACTGATGAGTCAATGTTATGATTCAGAAGGAAAATGATAACTGATTTATTGACAAACTAAGAAATCTTCAATACTGATGAATGATCTAGTGCTAATAGGTCCAACTGCACATCATCTTCTCATTGGAATTTTGTGATTTTGTGAATTGTGACAATTGCGTTCAATATTTACTTAAGCAATTTTCAATTAAATACGATCATCAGGACATCATTAGTTTGTGTTATTTTGTAGGTATGTAATCTGAATTTACCACAATGGTCAAAGCAATGGGTGATAAGAATAGATGTGTATTATATTTATACATGTATACACAACACACAACACAGACCTATATAGAACTGTGTATTACATTTATACATACACAACACACAACACAGACCTATATAGAACTATGTATTACATTTATACATACACAACACAGACCTATATAGAGCTACAAACTGTTGATGCTTGTACAAAGCTTATCAAAATGCCACAGGCAGTGTGTTTAAGGTAGAGGTAATGCAAATGATACGAGCCTCCACTGAGCTACATGTTAACGGAAATTTGTAGAAGCTCGCAACAAGATAATTGAGGCCTGTAATACTGTGTTTCTGGTCTCGCCCTCTAACAACCTTAGGGTTGGTAGGTAGCAGTGTTAGGAATCACTTCAAATAGATCATTACTACTTCATAAAACAATAGACGATTGATTTTTGATTGATCATGAAATTAAAGGGAAATAACTGAAAAGCATTCACAATAATGGGTATAGGCAGGAAGGCTGTTTGAATGCAGTTTATGATAAAAGTTATGATTGTTTTTCTGTTGTTCTGTAATAGGAGCGAAGAAAACGCATGGCCAGACCGGGGTTCAAACCTGTGACCCTCCGAACACTAGACGGTCGCTCTACCAATTGAGCTACCTGGTCACCGATGATCGATCCAGTCCAGTTCCACTACATTCCTCCCTCCTTTTTCTAAGTCTTTGCCCCCCAAGGCATCACTATTTATAACCAAGGTTCGTGTATCCCCTCATCAAGCATTCACCCAGTACTTGAAACAAGGGTTGGTCACAGGCACCAAATGTAATAGGAGCTGAAAAATGCACGTCCAGACCGGGGTTCGAACCCAGGATCTTCCAGACTCTTTTTAAAATACTTATTGAAACTTTTTATGGTATAGTCAAACCATAATGATCATCGAAAATCATGATCAATTTAGTCATAGTTGGAGGTAAAACAACCAATTGTTAAGATGCTCTTTACTACAGTGTTTACTATAGCGTGTACTATTGAGGTTACTCAACCGTGACAGTTCATTCATACATGTGTAGGGCACGTGCTGTCACCAAGGTGAGTTTGAAAACTGGTTTGTCCAGTGTTGGGACTGTAGGTGTCTCAGGTAAATCAGGTAAGGTGAGGAAAACATGCTAGGCATGCAATTACCAGGTATTTTCATCAATAAATTGGAGCAACACTTGGTTTGGTTTGTTTGTGTTTTACGTCCTATTAACAGCTATGGTCATTTTGGTGGCGGAGGAAAGCCGGATTTCCTGGAGAAATACCACCGACCTATGGCCAGTACCTGGCGACTGCCCCACGTAGGCCTTGAACCTGTGACCCAGTGGTGGAGTAGAACGTCAGACGCCTTAACCACTTAGCCATCTCAGCCCAACACTAACAGGAATTTCCTTTCACATTTTATATAGGTTACATAGACTTTTACTTTGACAGTGCTTGTCTAAGATTGGCTCCAAAACCCTTGGGAAAGCTGTCCAAAAATTGGGTTGGTAAAGAAACCTTAAACATACAATTCTTTTAAGGCCCTGATGACATTTTACCTTTTGCTGCGATAAACAAGTGACACAAACAGCATTATTTGTGCTTGTGATTCCACAGGAGAAGATTGTGTTCAGGTCAGCATCAGAGTTAGTTCCCTTGTGGGAGCTCTTTATGGTCTCAACAAAGTCCACAGTTCCATCTTTACACACTGCCACAGGGTCCCATCCTTCTGTTGTTAGAATTTCATGTAGAGGGAATTTGAGCTGAAACAAATTATGTGCAATTTGTTACTCATTATTTCTTAAACTATGAATAAAACATTTCTTAGGTGTCATTATGCAATGTAGGGTTTCATATACCTTTCCTATATCAAAATCCATCAATTAACTTCATTCATAAAAGGATAGCATCACACACTATATTAATAAGAATAAGGGTATTGCGAAAGGGCAATATAATACGCCTGTCATACATTAAATGAACAGTTGTCTGTATGGATGTACATGAAGGGCCATAACTCCATAATATTACCGTTTGACAATGGTGGTTATCAAACTTGTCTGAGCTATCATGATAATGAACCTTCCTACGAAGTTGACCCGTAGAAAACTACTCGAGATATCGAGCGGACACTTTTTGGGCAAATGAATAAAGGGCCACAATTCCATAAATTACGGTCCGATTGGCGACTATCTAACTTGCCTGAGCTATCCTATGACCTTCCCATGAAGTTTGAAGTTAATCCATTGAAAACTGTTCGAGATATTGACCGGGCAACGTTCGTGCTAACCCGCCCACATGATAACCTAATACGTACCGTCATTTGACGGGCGTTAAAAAAGTTCAAACATCTGTTTCATGTCATACAGAAGTGTATTCGCAGTATCAACAACATTGAAGGTTAACACTTTTAATCATCAGCAAGTAGAAACAAAAAATTTAGCCATGATTATGAAAATGGACAATATATATGTTAACGAGGACAGAATGACGATGCATTTTACTTTTTTCTTAAAACTTACATGTTTTTTTGTTGACTTTTCGAAACTTAAGTCATCTTTACTCCAGGTGTGAATATTCTGTAAAGTAAAAAGATAGAGTTGCAGGTATATGATGTAGCTACACTACTGTTTACAGAAATAAGGTCTCACTAAAACCTAAATAATTGTTATTATAGTTATTTCCACAGATATTGTACAATATTAAGTATCCCATGATTGTCGACTAATATCCTCAGGAATTTTCAAAGTTATTTAAAGAATGCTCTCTTCCTTTAGATGGGAAAACCTGACTTCATATTAGAGCATCTGAATCCTTTTTCCTTTTACCTTCTCTCTTCTTTTTTTTTAAAAGGAATGTGCAATTTTCCGAAGTTATCCTTGTTAACATAAACCGAATACAGTGTTCTCCCCAGGCTGTTTTTGCAGCATGGTACCATGCTCCTATAATATCTTACCATGCTGCTATCCTAGAATTTCTCTGCTATATATTCATAGTATATTTAAAGTTACCATGCTGTTTGATTTTACATAGAGTGCTGCTTTAACAGAAATATTGAAACACCATGCTTCTTTCAAAACATTCTGGGGAGAACACTGCAAATATAGGGAAATTTTGGCAGTGAAATTTTGTTCAGCTATAAAAGCAAAATTTAAAAGTGTTAAATACTTGAAAAAAAAAGTCTTTGTACAATCAAATCCAGAATATGAAACGCATCACTTGCCAAGAAAAATGGCAAAAACTCACTTTTTCTATCAAACTGGAGAAAACTCAAAATATTTCTCAATGAGATATGTTTTAGGTCTATTTATAGTGTACTCACTTGTTCATTAATGACCGAGATGTAACTGTTCCCACTGGTCCATCTGGCTGGACTGGTGATGTGTAACCCTCTCCTCACCGACCAGCTGTGTACGGCTTTCTGGTCATCTAACTGTAAACACACACACATACACATGAGTAACAGGAAAAATGCAATGTGCCAGACTTGTACTTAAACTTCTCCTGCTTCTTTATAACACTGGCGGTTTTCTACTGGCCATTTTCTCCCACATTTTTTTTACCTGTAACAGCAATGGTTGGATTGTCAAATTGCTAACAGATTTTCTAAATTTGACAAGATAATGAGTGTAGAGGTCACAAACAGTAGGAGAAAATGGCTGGCTTCATTCAGATTTTTGGTTGGTAGCCTAGGCCAGCTTTAAAACTGGACTGGGGTGTTAGATAAGATAATCTTAGTGCACGAGTAAGCTTGTCTCCTATCACAGCAACACTACTGACATTGAATCTTGTATTTGGCTTTTGTTTTAAGTAACCTACAAGGGAGTCATCATGTCAACTCAAGGAGAGCTCAATGTCCAACTTTCTAAAATCTTACTGTTTTTAATGTTAAATGAAACATATTGAAAATGATACAGTATGATATAAAATAAATCATACACCATATTGAAGAAATCTCGCTCCTAGCATGTTTTCTACAACTGGATCTTTTTTCTAAGGTAACCGCATTCTCAATCTTGATTACATTTATGGGTGTATTGCCAAGATGGGATCAGTACCTGTGACAGGATCAACTTACAGTTGAATATAGAAAATATAGGGCTGCCATAGTGCAAGTGTATAAGCTTATAAACGATGTTGAGGATATGGACAAAATTACTATTCTTGGAATCCACATATGCAGAGGTCATCAGAGGAAGACTTACAAAAAGCAATGTCGTTTAAGCACCACAAATAACATTTTTTAGCAATCATATGGTTAGCTTTTTTAATAATCTCTTTGCTGAAGTGGTGAATGCTTAAAGTCTAGCTTTAAGAATCTTTATGCACATTTGAAATATCTTAACCTCAAATTTTATCCATTGTTTTTACATGTCTATATATAGTTACAAGGTAGTGACTTAAGTGTGCACACTCGACCAACATCAATTGATAATTCCTAATTTGAATTTGCGCTTATGTTACAAGTTCTGAAATGAAATGTTCATGAAACCATCATTACAGGCCTCAGGACTGATGGTCTACCTATGAGGCCATGAATCGTTATATGGCCATGTAACAGGAAAGACAGTAGTGTGCTAGTGGTAGCTAATAGTGGTTTTTATGACTTTTTAATCCATATATGATATACCAATCACTCTCCAGGATCCCTGGACAGCTTCTATACGAAAGGAGGACAAGACACTACAACAAGACAAGGCTAGTGTGGTAGTTTCCACAGGTGAATTATGAACCAGTGATCCCCGCTTCCCAGTCAGTCTCTTTAGGGAAATTCACTCTAACGCGAAGCTATTTTTTTTTCAATTTCAAAAGTATTTTATTGACAATACATATATAATACAAACATATAAGTTAACATTAAAGAAGATCTTTGAACAGTATTGACAAAAGAATAAGACAAAAGGCTTTGCCTATATCAGTCTTCTTCTAATTCCGGTAGATATGTACAATGCTTAATTATATAAAATGTTGTGATTCGTTTCCTCTCACACTCATGCACACCCACATCCACACCAGCTTATGTCTAATACTCGTTATTTAAGGGATAAAACTTGCCTGAATAACAATAATTATAACAATACATGAATATTCATTTGGAATTTATCTAGCACGTATAAGTAACGAAACGTTTTGATGATTTAATATAAGAGTCGACATGTATAAGAATAGTTTTATTTAATTGGTCGGATGCATTACTAATACCATATACTAAACAGTGCAGATTTAAATATCCTACTAGATTATAAATAGTGGTAATATGATGCCTAATATTAGAATACAGAGGACATTGAAAGAAAAAATGTATTAGATCTTCCCTCTGTACACCACATACACAGGAAGCATCATCAATCAGATGGTCTTGTAACTTATCACAGTTAAGATCACTTTTAAAATTTCTTAGCTGACATAAAATTATGTTAAGTTTCCTCGGAACACAGTTAATAAAAGTTTCTGAGACGGATGTATCAAAGGTTTTTTTAAGTTTCTTTTTAAAAGATGAAATTGAGATGGAGTCTCGTACAGTGCTATCAAGTGCATTCCATTTTACCATTGTAGAAGGGAAGAAGCTATTCATATAAGTAGTAGTTCTTGTCTGTGGTATATTAAAGAATCTGTTATTTCTGAAGGTATAGTTATTATTTACATTTAGAAATGGTTGAATGATATTATCGAGATAAGTTGGAGTGTAATTATTAAGAATCCTATACATTAATGTTAGTTTATGATTTTGTCTTCGTGTGTGTAATGTTTCAAGTTGTGTTTCAGTATACAGAATATGATGAGATGTACCTCGTCTGTTTCCACAGGCGAATTATGAACCAGTGATCCCCGCTTCCCAGTCAGTCTCTTTAGGGAAATTCACTCTAACGCGAAGCTAGAAGGCAAACATAATCCTATGTACAATTAAATCTGTCTTCACCTATATATATATAGGTATATAGCCAGATATCATTGTGCTCTAGTATACCCATCATTCACAAATAAACATCCCTATTCCATGAATGTTTTAATTCAGTGTTGATAATTGACAAGTGAAGTCAGACAGTCTTATAAAATATTCGAACCCAAGTATACCTATACATAGCCTAGTTTAATTTAATCTGTAGACAATAACCGAGAGGCGAAAATAAATTGGAAAGTAAGGGGGGGGGGGGGGGGGGGGGGG